TTGCCATAGCTGAGAAGTACCCTCACCTCACCAAGTCACACAAGGCAAAGGTCAGTTGGTAGTGCAGTCAAAGCTGTAACAGAAACGATGCAATAAGATTATACCTTTTTTCTAATTTGGCATATGAGTTCTATCAATATTTTAAATAAATGAATAACAATGCTATTGAGGGCTACAAATATTCCACAGAAACCTATTGTTTAAATGTCAGAAAATGAGTAAGTGCCAAATGTTATCAAATTATTTCCATATCTTTGGTTTCATGGCTTAATTTTGTGCAAACTGTGGAATGTCATCATTATTTAAGATTTAAGCACACTTAGTCATGTCAGCTGTATTAGCAATTTCATCACACAAAACAAGTCATCAAATTCTGCACATTTTATTGCAGAAAATAAATATTCTTTGAACAAAATATCTTCAAATGGCATTTTAGAAGTTGTGGTATCAAAGACGACACAGTTGACTGGTGGATTTGAACTGTTATGTTTGTGGTATTACCATCATGAAGTCTTTGGTCAGCTTCATTCTTCCCTGACAGATTGATGGACTCATTATGGAATTTCCTGGCATTCTTATCTCCCAGATGAGTTGATGTTGCTGAATAACATCATATTATTTTGTTCAAATTGGGATTTGGGAATTGGGATTTATATGTTCATACGTTCGGAGGTATTTTTACTTTGTATTTTAACATTTAACATTTTGGCGTTCAAAGCAATAACGTAAAACTGAGCATTAAATCCGTTTGTTCCATATTGGTTCTGCTATCTGTGAAATACAAGTCACCTCCACAAAGCCATAACATTAGCCATCAAATCTCTTAACATTTTCTCGGGGCGGTCAGGTAGCCTCGTGGTTAAAGCGTTCGCTCGTCACGCCGAAGCCCCGGGTTCGATTCCCGACATGGGTACAATGTGTGAAGCCTATTTCTGGTGTCCCCTGCCGTGATATTGTAAAACCATACTCACTCACTCACTTAACATTTTCTCAAGTGCAGATTTGGAATTAACTGAAAGTGACGTCATCCATTGTTCCCGATGTTGCAAGAAAGTTTATGTGAGAAGTCTTTTGTAAGGAGGTTTCTGATTGTAAAAGAAGCATATTTTCATTGACACTTCTGACTGTTCCAGGCAAACAGAAGTACACACTGCCCTACAAGGCCCTGATGAGGGGGTCGGACGCAGCTAAGACATTTGCCTCCACCGTCTACGAGGAAACCGAAGATCAGCTACATGTGCAAAGAAATAGGGCTGACGAAATAACGTCACACCTGCTGCTGGTGTCACACAGAGACGGAAGGAAGCAGGACACTGTCAACTTTCTTAAGTCTTTCAATGAGATTGTTTTCAGAGATAGTAGAGATTGTAGTACTATATGTACCGAAATAAAGAATGAAAGATTGAAGAAGTTGAAATTGATAAGACAACTCTGTGTTCCTGGATACTACAGCTTCTGAATGTCCTTGAAGCTATTGATTGTAGGAGGAGGAGAATGATGAACTATCAGCGAGACTGGTTGATCCTCTAATGTCATGGGGGGAGACGGTTGTGATAGTGTACTTATTCAGATGTCGGATTTATACTTTTATACATATTCAATCTTATCATATCACTTTTTTTATGTCTCTCTCGGAATATGTGATGATACTATCTGTCTACCATGATTTTATGATATTCTACCATGATTTTAGGGTATATTTGAGTGGTCAGTGAGAGGGATCATGACTCTGTACCTCTGACTTGAGAGCCTGTTTGCTGAGTAATAATATACACAAAGTTGCTCTTTGTTATGTTGACAACCACTTTATTCTTTAGGGGCGGTGGGGTAGCCTAGTGGTTAAAGCTTTCGCTCGTCAGGCCGAAGACCCGGGTTCTATTCCCGACATGGGTACAATGTGTGAAGCCCATTTCTGGTGTCCCCTGCCGTGATATTGCTGGAATATTGCTAAAAGCGGCGTAAAACCATACTCACTCACACTTTATTCTTTCCCAGCTTTTCAACTGACTTCCATGTTGAAGTAAGAAACTCTGTTATAAGGATCTAGGCAGTACGTTGCTCAGTGCATTGTATCGATCACAACTTTGCCAGAAGACACTGGTGGTCAGTTCAATCCCAGTCTGTGATATACGACACCTGACATGCTGTGATATGACGGACACACAACGCTGTGTTTTTACAAGGCACTTGTGGAGTACACGATGCAACTGAAGATGAAACATTGTGAAGATACAATGTGTCTTTATACATATCCAGAAGGGCACGGGGAAGTAAAATCAGTTCATTCCCGGATTCACAAGTCCTGGATATGGAGTTATGGCCCTTGGTATGTAGTGATAGATTTAGATGAACAGAGAAACATTGTTGGTCCCATTTGTAGAAAGGTTATTTGCCCAGACTCTTGTCTTGTTCCTGCTCTGACATTTTAACATGTTCTCCTTATCCAGGACAAGTTGATGTTATTTTGTTATTTTGATATGTTTACCACACACTCAGGGTTGAACACAATGCATAGTCAAATTGTTGCCTTGAATGGATTCAAGTTTGTTATTTGTATATTTTTGTGCCTTTGATAATACAGTAAAGATATACAAATAAATAATTGTATTGAAATCGAAACATATCTGCCAAATTTCCCTCAAGGTATCAAAAAACAATTTTGTTATGAATGTATTTTCAAAGCACTGCATCAATTCAACTGTCATACGCAACAGAGAGAAATGAAATGTATTTTTCTGAGACTAGGATTTTTGAACAACCTCAAACTATCAGGTAAGCAAACTTCATGTCACTTTAGAAAGAGTTTGCACTGAGATTAACTTTGACATTGTCTAATCAATAGTAATATGTGTATAACATTGGTGTCACTCATTATTAAAATTCACTGCAACTGTCATGCTTTGGAATTATCTTATGTCTTATGTTGTCCTACATTGGTCAGATCTCTTTGTCATAGAACTGAGACCAGGTTGTAGGTGCCTTGCATTAGACATATGGTTACTGCTCAACTTGAAATTAAGAAACTGAATTAAATCAGTGTTGCTCCAGGGTAAGAAAATAGATCCCAGGCAAGAGAGGCGACTATTGGGATCGGCCGGTCAGGCTCGCTGACTTGATTGATGCATGTCAAATGTTGTCCTACATTGGTCAGATCTCTTTGTCATAGAACTGAGGCCAGGTTGTAGGTGCCTTGCATTAGACATATGGTTACTGCTCAACTTCTAAAAAAGAAACTGAATTAAATAAGTGTGGCTCCAGGGTAATAGATCCCAGGCAAGAGAGGCGACCAAGGGGATCGGGCGGTCAGGCTCGCTGACTTGATTGATGCATGTCATCGTATTCCAGTTGAATGGATCGGTGCTCATGATGTCAGTCTTTGGTTGTATGGTCCAGACTCGATTATTTACAGACTGCTGTTATATAGGTGTACTATTGTGGTGTGTGACGTTAAACTACGAATAAACAAACACTCTCGGCTTTACTCCCGCATTAACGTGAAAAATGATCAATGCATGTGTGTGTTAATATGGTAGAAAAGTCCAGCGCGTGTCAGGTTTTAAGAGGTTTGACCGCCATTGCGAAAACTAGGAGCATGAGTGCAGTGGGGACAACCCAATAACCATAATCGGGGACATCTTGGATTCGAACCCTTACTCACAGGATCCTGGCAAACTGAATTAAATCAGTGTGGCTCCAGGGTAATAGATCCCAGGCAATAGAGGCGACTAAGGGGATCTGGCGGTCAGGCTCGCTGACTTGATTGATGCATGTCATCGTATTCCAGTTTCATGGATTGGTGCTCGTGATGTCAATCACTGGTTGTCTGGTCCAGACTGTTTTATTTAAGGACTGCTGTTATATGGATTTACTATTGTGGAGTTTGGCGTTAAACTACAAATAAACACACACTCTCGGCTTTACTCCCTCATTAATCTGAAAAATGATCAATACGATGATAAACACAACTCACTCACCTCGGAGAGTTTTTTTAGCTTTCACCCGGACATTTCTTACTGAACGGAACAAGCGAGTGAATTGTGTTTTACACCGCTTTCTAAGTGTGTTTTTTTTCAATTAAACCACAGTGTGTCCGCTAATTTGGGAGACAATTTCAACCTGGTGCAGGTCTTAAGAGGTTTGACCACCATTGTGAAAACTAGGAGCATGGGTATAAGAGTTCGCCGCCAAGATGGTACATGTACAGACTCCACACTTCATTGTGTAGGCGTCATGGTACTTGCCACACGTTTAAACTGCGGCAAGGTTTCCCAGACAGACAGATACCACACGCACACGCACACGCACACGCACACGCACACTCACACTCACACTCACACTCACACGCACACGCACACGCACACGCACACGCACACGTACACCCACACACGCACACACACGCGACGCGACGTGAAACCCCATTTCACCCCACCTCAAATTGTCTGGTCAGGCCTTCTGACTTGGCTGATTGAAGCTCTCAGTACCGCGTTGACGTGTATAGTTGCGTATATTTTCAGTCAATAGTTTGCATAATCTAGACTAAAACGCCATGACGAATGGCCCGGGTTTGGTGCTGATGAACAAAGAAAGATAATCATAGCAAATCGGGATTCAAACCCACGTTTCTGGCACACCAGGGACACACATATGCAGAGCAAATTCCGGGCCTCAGATAACTGGGCCATCAGTGCCACCCAACCCGATTATATGTTTTGTTATGTTCTTTACAACCGAAGTTGATTTATCTCATTTGACGACAGCAACTAATACATCTGTAGCCTCTAAAAACATACATACTCCCGTTAAGATCCGGGTTTGATAGGGTCTTCAGCAACCCATGTGTGTCGTAAGAGGCGACTAACGGGATAGGACTGTCAGTCTTGCTGACTTGGTTGATGCATGTCATCTAACCAAATTGCGTAGATCCATGTTCATGGTGTCACATGGATTATCTGATGCACACTCCAGTGCGGAGTTGAACAACAAACAAACAGAAACAGCCATACACAAAGACATGCTTCATTGTTATACACTTTGAGTGAAACAACAAACAATCAACGTGAATGTGGAAACAGTCACATTCCGTGTCGCGTCCACAGCAAATGTACATCAGTGTCCAGAGGTTTAGGCCGTTTCACAACTTTCGATCTTCAAACTCTTGTGTCTTGGAGAATCTAAAATGTGATCAAAATGTCAAACATTTATTACAACTAGAAAATGGGATATTGATCAACAGATAATTGAATGTATAAACTAAATTTGAATCCACATCTTTCTACAATACACGTGAACATAATCAGAGTGAACATGGGCTCGAAACCCATAGTTATAGGCTTCTGGCACACAGTGGTAGACATTTGCTTAGCGAATTACAACAGCTTAGACGACTGGGCCACCCATGTTCCTCTAACCTGATTGTACGTAATGGCTTACTTCGTTAGAACCGTAGTTGATTCATTCCATTTGACGACAGCAGTTAATACATCTGTAGGCTCTAGAAACAAAAATACCCCAAGTGTAGATCCGGGTTAGAATGGGTCTTCAGCAAGCCATGCTTGTCGTAAAAGGCGACTAACGGGATCGGGTGGTTAGGCTCGCTGACTGGGTTGATGAATGCTATCGTATCCCAATTGCGATGACGGATGCTCATTGTGGCATCATTGGATTGTCTGGTCCAGACTCCCGTGCCACGTTAAACAACAAAAAAGCAAACAAATAAACAAACAAAACATAGAATTGCATCATTAGTGTACGCTTCGATTAAAACAACAAACAATCAGCATGAAAGGGGAAAGAATCGCATTCCTTGAGCTACGGTTTCACATTGTCAGATCAATAGCAAATGTACATCAGTGTCCAGAGGTTAAGCCATTTCACAGATTTCGATCTTCAAGCGCATGTGTCTTGGAGAAACTACAATATCGACACAATGTTAAACGTAAAGCAATTACTCCAAGAGAAGGGGACTTTGATGAACAGATAACTGATAACTTAATCCTCGTCGTTCTACAGTGCATGTGAAGTAGCTGCTGAACATGGCCCATAATAAACAAACAATTTACTGCCATGTCACTTCAGACACGTCCCCAACAGACCTGACCCCTATCAGACCGGACACCCATCAGTCCGGACCCCCGTCAGTCCGGACCCAGTCAATCTGAAACCCCAACTTCTTGACGCTTTCTGATACGGTGCCCTTTTTGTATACACCTGAGGAAATAAGCATGTGAAAGGAATCATGGCGAGAGTTATTTGACTACCCATTCACTCTTCTGCTTCTCTGAACCATACTATATGATACAACCATCTTGAAGTCATCTTGAGAAGCATGCATTGTCTTTATTCAACCTACAAGCAGGTATCAGCATCAAAATGAGATCAAGGTCACGTGCAGATATATTCTAGGGTGGTGTTTAACGTTTTCCCTGGTGTATAACAGTAGATGCCAACTTGTCCACAATTCATTTCAAACTAGTTGTTTGTTTATACATATCACCAGTCCTTACAATCTTTCACTAGTCTCGGGCCAGCAGACAATTGGCCGTGTCGACCCAACATAACTCCCAACCAATGGTTCGTTAACACGATTATTCCATCGTCTGGTATTAAAAGGTTCCACTGTACCACACTGTAAGTGTATACTTTAAACGTAACCTTTCACATTATTATGTATGATTTGATATCTGATTGCAGACACAGTATTGAATATACGAGTCAGATTATCAAAATAATGTAAACGGTCGGAATGAGATCTACAAACTATGCTTATAAAGGGTGTACTATAAGTGAACTGAATCATATTACCTTTACAGCAACACCTGTATATTCTAAAGGACAAGATGGTTGTGGAGAGAAGAAAACAAGTTGAATAGAATTTATGTTTAAAAGTCAGTATTACCAATTTGAGTGATTATTGGAAACAGTTCAACAACAAAAGTCTTTTACTTAATTAAACTATTCACATGCAAATATAAGGGAAATAAAACACGGTTTTGTACGGCAAACTTGATACACGTTTGAAATATTTCTTAAATGTGCATAGTTAACATTTATGAATGATGAGAAAAGTGAGAGTACAAATAATCAATAAAGCAGAGAGATTAAGGGCGACAAATGTTGGAGTTAGTGTAAACAACAAACGGAAGTTGACAGAATTGATAATTGAAGGCACACATTCTCTTTCATCACTTCACAAACATTCAGTCATGATGCCCTCTCAATGTTATTGAAATGTGAACATTCAAAATGAGATGAAGACATTCTATGTGTCAAATACACTCACAATGACTGCAGTCTGGAGGTGTAGTAATTGTACATGAATTATCCTACCTACACCTAACTTTTTAAAGTAGTTAAAGACAAATATTCTAATAGAGACGTTCATGTCTCAGATCCTTTTTCTGATTGTAGATTGTTTCGCTACTGCATTTCAAGCTGCACATGTAATCATATTAATATATTTTTGTAGAATAAAGAATAGTACAGATGTATAAATCTGGCACATTAATTTAAACAAAACATAACACATGATGTATTTCAAATATTTGTGTAGACAAACAGGCTTTCACAAGAAAAAAATAGTTTTATAGTATTAAATCTGTGGGGATAAAACTAATGAAACAAAAATAAACAATATATGCAAAATCAAATATTGGGATACATTATACAGGTGGGGCCGGGAAATACAAAAATGTACACCGAGTTAATCTTCTGGGGACGAGCATGTACCAATAACAGTTGTCCGGGGGAGCGGCGGGGGGAGGCGGTCGCTGGGTGGTGGTGGATGTTATTTTGCAACACTGGGACAGAAGTTGCTAATGTGTCGTTTCTCAACACCATTTTCGTTTTTTTAAATTAAGATGCGACATACTGTTTCCGGTTCCAAATTCAATACAGGGATAAATGTACAAATAACACAGCTCTACACTGTAAACACGGCATGTGCATACTGAAATTAAATTCTGTTCAAAATGCAAGCTATCTTCAAACTAACCTGCATCAGCACCTGTAGTTGGTGGATCAGAAGGGAAACGGTAGCCTCCATTTACAATGTTGTGGGAAAACCCATATACAGCGAATCTACTGGCAGAGCGGACGATGTATCTGCTGAATGAACATTGTGCTCCCGCTTTGTAATCACTGCCGGGGATGTCCACCCAGTTAAATGTATCAGAACGGAATACTTCAATATCCGTTACGTGTTGTTTAGTCAGGATGTTTATACAGTATGTAAAAGGAATGAAAGCACTGTTCACGAAATACCTAACTGGAACTACAACAACAAACCCATGCTGAGATGGATATGTGCTGTTTCTACACAGGGTTGCCATGACAGGCCTTGTGGCGGTAAGATATAGACTCTCATTCCGGGCGAGGTATTGGCGATATACACGGTTGTCACCCAGAGAGAATGTAGATCCATTGTTCAACATAAGTTCAGTGTCGCTCTGGTCACTAATAACTTGCAGCTGGTATTTCCAGTTCCTAATATAGGAGTAGTCACCTATATACATAACATACTCCGTCCCATGATGTCGTACAGGTAATAGTTGCGTCACGGCCATGACTGACCTTCCTTGCATTGCCCCACTGAACACAGCTACAGTGTTTGTTGTGTTGATTACAGTTCCAGTCAGGTGATAGTCACTCTTCATCGTGAAGGTCTGATACTCATCTAGAGTCACGTGAATCGTGTCTCCGTCGTTGTAGGTCATGTTGTCATAGGTGACGTTCCCCTCCAGCATCAGCGTGATGTCCACGTCTGTCTTGTGGTTGTGGTTAGCTATCACTAACACCACCTGTGTCTGGTATCCCAGACAGGTGGATACTACATACCTGGAACCTAGGGCAGAGATCGGGAGGGGAGAAAAGATGTCATTTCCCATGTGTGTGTGAAGGCCCATGTTCTTACCAAAGACATGGATTACGTAAGCCATGTTTTCCACACCCACCGTCACCCACGATGGCGAATCTATGTTAGTGGCCCCGTATGGCGTTACAGTCCCTGTGACGTTATATCCCAGCTGTGGATAATCAACCAGAAAGGATCCCCCTGTCTCCCCAGCTGCCACTATAACTACATCTGATTCAGTATTCAGCCAGATATCATGAAAAGATGCCAGTAAGTAGCTCACACCTGGAAGAAGCATACACAGTTTGTTAGTAGGGTTTTAGATAAATAACAACGGTACATCCTAGCTTCTGATAGTGTCAATCACATTGTTTTGTTCATCACTCGCTCAGTAACTCACAGTGACGGTGTAACTGTAGGACATTCTGAACTTTCCCACGCTGAATGTAGTTGTCACTCGTTTGGATTGACCGCGATACAGTTGGTAGTTCTGAGTTATGAGCTATGAGTCATGATAATCAAGTTCGGTTTCAGTATTTCAAAACGAGCATTTCACGTTGGGAACAAAAACAAATGTGTTATATGACTTTAATTTTATTTCATTTTATATTGAACTATTTGTACGTAACAATGAATTGTTTCATGATTATTAAAGAGACCGACTATCATTATGTAATGTTTACTGTTTTAGGAATATTTGACAGAATATTTTTCAATATTGCATTGATATATAACTATTTCCACATGTTTATCTCGACACTCAGAGATGTGAGGTGAGGTGAAATGTGCTTTAACGTCGCATTCAATGGTATTGCATTTATATAGCAACGTGCTTGCACGTGTGTGACTCCGAGCTGACCAGTCCCTATAAGTATCGTGTTTGGGTTTGACGCGACCAGGGGATTGAGCCACCGCACTTTCCCTGTCGGTCATGGAGGCGGTCGCACCCCAGTGCACATAATACACACACAGACACATCAACCGAGAAAGTTGACAACATGACCATATACAGCAATACGATAATCCATAAGCAGTGATCAAAGACCATTTACCAAAACTCAAATAATAGATATACAGATATTATTAACCAGATTATATATTATGAGTCTGTGAATGTTATATTTGAGGATGACGACTTTGAAATACATATTTGTTATTTCCTTACATTGTATATACTTGCATCACATGGGGTTTTCCTCCAACATCAAGCTAACACCCTATGATATAACTGAAATACTGCTCAAAGCGGCTTTAAACTCAAAGAAGATATGTATATACATTTACCCTCAGCATAGTCTTGTCCACCTGTCCCTGAGTTGTTGGATACAGGTGTGGGTAGTGTTGATACACCTGCAGGTGTTGAGGCCGGGGATTGTGTCATGGGAGTTGTTGATCCTAAACAGAAATTATCTTGCAGCTCTAGATACTTTATTCAGAGTTGCTAGTCCGACGTTTCAAATCACATCACATTCTTTTTCAGATGAAAATCAGTGTCATTTCTGATTCACGCATGTGGAAAATACATAAGCCCTAAAATCACATACTTATTATGTATTTACGAGTACATATGGCTTTCTTGTACTATTCTTTAGGTATCAAGACTCGTATGTGTATACCAGCTCTTGTACAGACTCTATCAGAAATGTTCCATCTTGGAATGCTTTATACTTTTATTGGAACATGATGTTGCAGCTGGCAAAGTCACGTGGTTTTAGAGCTACTCTTCCACCTGAAATGTCCCAAATACACAGAAAACTAGGACTCACACAGGGGTAGGGGTATGTAATAAGATGTCGTCCTCTTCAGTCATACAGAATGTAGAATGCCAGACACCACGTGACTAGGCCCTGGCATTACTATGACACAGGGGAACTCAGGCGTACAGTAGAAGACATAACAACATGTCCAGACAAACGTTCCCATTGCGCTCTCATTGCCCCGCGCATTAACCTTGAAGTTCAAAACTATATTCTGGAGGAGTTGCATCAACTACTTAGAAAAACAGATGGGCTTGAAAGGAGTTTGAAGGTGGAGGCATGCCGCCTGGGTAAATGTCTAGTTGAAAAGAAAGAGAATGCAAGACATGTAAGACCAGATGGTTCACTGCATCACGTCCTGGGGAGGTTCATTTTCTGTTTGGGAAAAGGATCGAGCGAAAAACTAAATTGGACATGTCTCTGGGTACAGGAAAAGAAAAATAAAGCTTTTGACTGATCTACCTCCAAAGCTTAGAGGCTAATTAAATCCTAACACATAGAGCATCATCATCAATCTTTGGCAAACTTTTCAGAAATCTATTCCAAAATATGTACTCAAGGTACCTCAGCAATGGAGGTATCTGAATTGACTCAAAGTTGGGTTCAGTTATTCATTTCAATTGGCTGTAAAATGAATTTGAAACAAAAGATGAGAACAACGCTATTTATTCTGTTTGGTTTACCACGTCATTGGTCTTGTTGCTCGCTATGTCTCTGCTCGTTAATCAGTTGTCAGGCCCTTGAAAAAAACTAATAATGAAATAATAATAATACACAATCAATAATCAAAAAAAAAAGATGCAAATAATGATGCACTGAAAGTATGGAAACAAATGGTGAACCTTAGCGATCGAAATTGAGATTTAGACACACTAAAAGAAAACCTGAGTTTTGGCACGAAAAGAAAAATGGAGTGGGACAGAAAAAGTGATAACCAAAGAAATTACTTCTCAACCAGCCCGAGATGTCAACTTGGGTGAACTGTCAGTTTCGGCTCCGTGAATTCTAACAAACTCATAATGTGACAACGAAGTCCACTTCAAGGCCCAAACTTCTGGAGATGGCAAGAAAATATAACTGCTTGTTGTAGGTCTGTTTATGTGTTTAGGAGATGCTGTTGGATTGTCTGGTCCAGACCCGATTATTTTCAGACCACCGTCACATTGCGGGAATATTGCTGAGTGCGGCGTTAAACAACAAACAAAACACCCGTGTGTTCAAGTTTAGCATAATGCAATATAATATTAATATCTTCATGTAAATAAGTTAACCTCAGTACAAAACTCTATTTAGTTTGTTAGCTGATTTGTCGTCTTGTAAGGTGCCTGTATGATTATATTATGTGCATGAAACAGGTTATATACCTGAAAATATTTCTCATTTTATTTAACATTCTGATTATACATCTATACGTGATGAGGACATCAAAGTATTACATACCAAATTATACCTTCATAGTAATAATATATATTACAAAATAATAATAATAACATAATAAAAAAATATGTTGTTTTAGTTCTCTAAACAATCTACAGCGTATATATCTAAACTTGGGTTCGTACGTTGAATGTCCAGCACAAGCATCGTCCTATTATTAAACACTAATTAACCCCTGCTAAATTACTGCTATTGGTACTGCAGGAGTTCATGCTTAAGCCAACCAGAATGTGTTTAGTACAACAAATTATAGCGTACCATCAACGTTTCCAAGGGACACCAGGAGCAGCGCCACTTACATGAAACGTCCCATTGTCACAGAGCTAAGCATGTACCGCACAGAGCTGTGACTACGCTCTGTCTGGCAGGGTGGCTGCGGATAACCTGGTATGTATGCACCACGTGAACGCAGGCCACTGTAACAGCAAATGAAATTGTGTGAATCACGGATGACTCTTCCAACAATATATGTAGCGTAGCCTTGTACATTGTCAGCATGTACAGGCAAAGGATGTATTTACTGCCATTATAACAAAACATATAGCAGGAGTGTTTCCTATGCGAATACTCATGTGTACTCAAATTGATCTAAATAGCTTATTGACAACTTGAATCTCATGTGGAAACTTGATGTGGGGACATAAACTGAGTTGAGAGCTCTTAACATAATGTTAATTTGTTTGCATATATATGAAGCGGCCTCTTCCCTACAAAACTTCTTTCTTCTATATATATTCAGATTCAAAAAGAGGTTTTGTAGGAAAGAGGCCGCCTCATTCGTAGGATTTTGATACTGCTCGTGGCCTGGGTGTATGATACTGCTGATACTGCTTGTGTTGATGGCCTGGGTGTATGATACTGCTGATACTGCTTGTGTTGATGGCCTGGGTGTATGATACTGGTGATACTGCTTATGTTGATGGCCTGGGTGTATGATACTGCTGATACTGCTTGTGTTGATGGCCTGGGTGTATGATACTGGTGATACTGCTCGTGTTGATGGCCTGGGTGTATGATACTGCTGATACTGCTTGTGTTGATGGCCTGGGTGTATGATAGTGGTGATACTGCTCGTGTTAATGGCCTGGGTGTATGATACTGGTGATACTGCTTGTGTTGATGGCCTGGGTGTATGATAGTGGTGATACTGCTCGTGTTGATGGCCTTGTTGTATGATAGTGGTGATACTGCTCGTGTTGATGGCCTGGGTGTATGATAGTGGTGATACTGCTCGTGTTGATGGCCTGGGTGTATGATACTGGTGATACTGCTCGTGTTGATGGCCTGGGTGTATGATAGTGGTGATACTGCTCGTGTTGATGGCCTGGGTGTATGATACTGGTGATACTGCTCGTGTTGATGGCCTGGGTGTATGATACTGGTGATACTGCTTGTGTTGATGGCCTGGGTGTATGATACTGGTGATACTGCTTGTGTTGATGGCCTGGTTGTATGATACTGGTGATACTGCTCGTGTTGATGGCCTGGGTGTATGATACCGGGGATACTGCATGTGTTGATGGCCTGGGTGTATGATACTGGTGATACTGCTTGTGTTGATGGCCTGGGTGTATGATACTGGTGATACTGCTCGTGTTGATGGCCTGGGTGTATGATACTGGTGATACTGCTCGTGTTGATGGCCTGGGTGTATGATACTGGTGATACTGCTCGTGTTGATGGCCTGGGTGTATGATACTGGTGATACTGCTCGTGTTGATGGCCTGGGTGTATGATACCGGGGATACTGCTTGTGTTCATGGCCTAGCTGTGTGATGACTGTGATACTGCTCGTGTTGATGGCCTGGCTGTATGATACTGATGATACTGCTCGTGTTGATGGCCTGGGTGTATGATACTGATGATACTGCTCGTGTTGATGGCCTGGGTGTATGG